CTCACGACTAATAGCCCTGTTTTCTTCGCTCGACGACACCGTCACTCCAAAGACAATTTGACTCACCGATAAATACGTCTACGTTGTGTTCAAACTCTCTCTCTCTCTCTCTCTCTCTCTCTCTCTCTCTCTCTCTCTCTCTCCTCTCTGTCTTTCTCTTTCATGAGAGTACAAACGAGTGACGGGAATATTATATGCGACCCATGAAACCTCGTTTCATCTCTCGGCCATTTACAACTCTCCATCATGAGGCTCTCCCCCCCCCCCCTCTCTCTCTCTCTCTCTGTTTCTCTCACTCTCTCTCTCTCTCTCTCTCTCTCTCTCTTTCTCTCTATCTGTCTGTCTGTCTCTCTCTTCATGTAGGACGATTTCTTGCTTAGGACGAGAAAGGACCAAACTTAGAAAGAGAGAGTGAGAGAGAGAGAGAGAGAGAGAGAGAGAGACGGGAAGAATCAAAATGGCCGACATAGAAACTTACACTGCCGATAAATCTTAAAGAGTATTATTCTCATGAGTTAATGCACTCAAATTTAACAAATTCCATTAATGACAGGGAGACAGTGATGGCCAGAATTTATATTTGTATATAATTTATATCGTACTTTCAAATTATTCTAATCGACATTGTCGTTTAGGATAAAGGAGAAAAAGCCGAAGAAAATAGAAGAAAGAAAAAAAACAAAAAAAGGAAGAGAGAGAGAGAGAAAGGGAGAGAGAGAGAGAGAGAGAAGGGGAAAAAGGAGAAAGAAAATATAAAATAACAAAAAGATAAACAAAAAGAAAATAAACAAAGAGAGATATTAGTCTTACACTTATCATAGACTAGTATATATATCTATGATAGTTATATACACGTATATATATATATATATTATATGTCATTGTTTGTGAGCCCGTTATATACAAAATTACGGTGTATTCTTAAAGTCCTCACCCTCTTTGCCCTCCTCACCCTCCGTCTTCGTCGTTGTTGTCGTTGTCGTTGTCGTTGTCGTTGTCGTGTCCTATGAGGGCCCCCACGAAGACACATTATTAATCGGGTGATGTCAGTGGTTCGACCCCTCATAGAGAACCCATAGGACCCCGTTTGGTAAAAGGGACAACGACGTAGACTCGAGGTGAACCACAGAGGGAGTATTCGAAGAAATAAAAGAAATAAAAGAAGTAAAAAAAGAAGAAGGAAAAGAAGAAAGTATCGACGAAGGAGGTGGCAGCAGTCGTGGCTGAGGATATCGAAGCAAACTTGGAGTGGGGGTTGGTATAGGGAGAAGACGTTAGGGTGATGATGGTGGGAGGTGGGAGGTGGGTAGGGTGGAGTAGAGTAGGCTGGGTGAGGTAAGGAGGGAAGGAAACCAGAAGAATGGGACTCACTTCGTGCATGACCCAAAGAAACCCCCGCTGAGCGACTCGATCCGATCCGCTGATCCCCGACCGCGCTGACGCAGATACCATCTTTCCTTGCACTCCGAATGCTCTCTCCGGGCGTTTCTTACCGACCATATACTCTCTCTCTCTCTCTTTCTTTTTCTCTTTCTCTATCTATCTATCTATCTATCTTTCTCTCTCTCTCTCTCTCTCTCTCTTTTTCTCTCTCTTTACTCCTTTCGAAGTAGAGAAGAAATATCAGAGAGACAGCTATATGAGCGCACTGATTTGTCCGCTTATTGTTGGCCCCGTTGTCCGGTGTCGTTGTATTCTTTACTCCTCCTCCTTCTTCTTCTTCTTCTTCTTCATCTTCTTCCTCTTCTTCTTCTTCTTCTTCTTCTTTCTCTTCTTCTCTCTTAAGAGACGGAACTTCCTTCCTTCCTTCCTTTCTTCTTTTCTTTCTTTCTTTCTTTCTTTCTTTCTTTCTTTCTTTCTTTCTTTCCTGATCGCTTTCTTCTATATTTCGTCTCTTTCTCTTTATAATATTATTCTTTGATACGTCGCAATACGACAACAGAATGACAACAACAACAATAACAACAATAACAAAAAAGACGACGATGACAACGACGACGATGATCTTTCCTTACGAGTCTTTCATATTACTTTCGTTAAAAGATTAAATTATCGATTATCATTTATGTCAAATCATATCGTATTATATTTTATATATACTTAGTATATATATATATATAATAAATTTATTCTATGTATTGTTATATATTCGATATTAGGATTAGGGATAATTTCGTTCGTATATTTAACCCCTCGAACGATTTTGTTTCAATGGAAAATATAAATATCATTCGAATGTATACGTACATATTTATGTAAATAGATTATACGTATATATTCTTATAAAATTTAAGAACGAATATACCGGCTCCATAATACATAAATATATATATATATATATATATATATATATATACATACGTATATAGATATATCTACTATGTATATACTTATCTATCTATCCATCCATCCATCTATCTATTTATTACATTTGCTTTCCTAACAGAAATATTAATTTCGTTTAATTTTCTCCCTTACCCCCATCCCCAGGCCCATATCCCTGAATAGAAAAGAGTTAGATCGCACATATATTTTATTTTATTACTTCGATCTAATCTACGTAAAAGAAATAATAATTTTTCAAACTTAATACGTCACAGACGGTTATAGCGATAATGCCGAATCAAACATGCTCGCCGATTAAGTTTTTATCTTGAGTGGATCGTGAGAAACCGTGGTTCGATTTAATATACGACACATTGGTTGTCGATAATAGATTTAACGACTCGTCGGATTTCTATAATTACTCGATAAGAGGTGTGTGGTTCTGAGTAAGCTTGAAAGGATCGAAAGAGTTTCAGAATTCGCATAAATTTATCTTTGACCTATGTATGTATATTTATTTCGTGCTCTTATGTCTCTCTC